TAAAGATCTGTATAGGTGAAGTGAAGGAGGGATAACAGTTTACAAATCAGTCTTAAACTTAAATGCATTGATTGTATTGGAAAAGAAAAAAATATTTAAATTCAAACAAAAAAATGCAGCCTTTAACAGATAATCAATGTCTGAAAAATCTGAAGTGTGAATTGTTGGTTGGGTTCTACTGGTTAAAATGATTCAGTTAAATGTTTATGGATAGTGTTGAAATGGAAGAGTTGATTGCCTGGCTGTAGTGAGAGTGTATATACTTTTTTTCCTATGGGAATTTTTTGTGTTGATAGTGATAATTTTAAACAGTTTCATCTCCTGCCATATGAGGTCTAAAAACTCTCTAGAATTAGTTTCTAAATATGAACTCTTCATTAACTTAGAATATGTTAAATTAAGAGTTTAAACTATTTGAGCAGTTCAGTTGCATGGGGTATACAACATACCTTAATTTTTAAAGCTTTTGAGAAGCACTGAGCATTAATTCTATAATTGTGGAAGATGCCATTTGAATCTTGCTGTTAAAACCAGTTGGACAATAGTACCTGAAACCAGTTTCAGTATTTTGTATTAAAAATAGTAAATACAAAATGAATTGTTGCCTGGAAATTTGGGAGGAATCAGAGTAGCTGAGTAAGAATCTGGAAGAATCTGGAGTAGCTGGGAAGAATCTGGAGTAGCTGTTGTGTGCATGTACTAAACAATAAATCTTACAGTACTTATCTTCATAGATAATGATGGCAGACAGAACATGATATAGTTGCAAAGTTGTCTTCTGTATGGTGTGAGCATCCCGAGTGTTAGTGTATGTTGCTGTTTAACATTTTCATAACTTCTCATTAGTGGCTGCCTCCATGCGTCTCCACACCCAGTTACTGTATTTTGGTGGCTGGGGAGAGGATGAAGGAGGTTTTGTATTAGATGGGGACAGAAAGACACAGTTAAAACAAACCAAATAATTACACAGCTTATAAGCACTTGGGAGGGAAAAAACAGGAAGCATTATAAGCTTTGCCTCTTCTAGGGATGTAATAATTTCATAAGTTATAGTGGTGGAATGAGCTCTTCTGCCATCCTTAATATTTGCAAAACTGGATGGAAATAAAATGGTTCCTGACTTCATCTGCTGTGCGCTTTTTTATTGTATTTGAAGTCTTAACTCTCATGATGTTTATCATGTTCACTAAAAACATAAGTTATGCCCCTGGGGAAAAAAAGACCATGCTTTCCAAAAACATATTTGAAAACTTTTTTGTATTTTATTTCAGTTTTCAAAACCAGTCTCAATTATGGGTTAAATAGATGAGGTAAACTGTGCTCTTAATGACTTTTTGTTCATCAAGTGTGCTAGCTATACATTCCAGTTTGTAATAACAAACCTCCACAGAAAAAAGTTTTAGTACTAGACTACTTTTAGTCATTTCTTGCTCCCATTCCAGTGCTGCTTTTGTGGAGGATAAAGTTTATTTTGAATGAAAATACCAAAACCAAGTCTGATAAATGTGGAAGTAGGAGATGTCTTTGCAGTAGCAGTGCAAGAGGTGCATCTTTATTCACTGTACTGATGGCATTCCAAAGACCACTTTTCTTCTCAGGGAACCAAAATGTGATATAACTTACTTTTTATGTAGCTCTAGAAAGGTTTACACTAAAACGATTAGTTGTGTTTGTGCAGACCAGTGCTGCTGGAACAGTCTTTCATAGTGTCTGTATATAGCTCTTCCAAACTCTGTTTTCAACTAATCTTGAGTTATAGAATAGTTGTGTAGGATTTGCCATGGTTCACAAACAGAGCTAGTTGTGGTAGACGTGATCAAACCAGAGTACATTGATTTGCACCCCTGGCAAGAGTTTTGTTAATAATTGCAATAAGTCTGTGTCAAAATTTCATAGCTTAATATTGAAGAATGCTTTGTGCCAGAATTTGACATGCAAGACTTGCAGCCTAGAAATTTTTAAAAGGTTAAGCAAACATTTTCTTCAAAGCTTTTTTCTAAATTGGAAAGCTGTACTGAAAGAGTTAAATAAGCAAGTAACTGACTTGGTCAAGAGCTTCAGTTTTTTAGCAGTGCATCTATCCTTTTCCATAATCAACAGAACAGATGGAGGCAAACAATGATCTTAAATGTGCATTTTATGCTAGTTCTGTCAGAGTGAAATAACAGAAATAACTTGGAGAAAGGTACTTCATTTCTAAAATGTATGACCTCAAAGGATTTGAGGAAACTCAAAGAAATTCATAACTATATAAATACTGGTTTATAGGTTAAATGGGTTATTTTTTTTAGACTGCAATATTTTTTCACTCTGCACCCCCTCAAGAGGGTTGGATTTTTTTCACTGCGTGTTTGAGTGTTTATAAAACACCCAGACAAAAGCCAGAAAGCTTAAAGGCTAGGATCTCTAGCCTTGCTTTCAAACTACAGTGTGCCTTTATTATGGATTTTGTACCATGAAACCCAATCCTAGCGCTTAGAGTTGAGGGTGGAGACAAATATAACTCTGAATTTCTTGAATTCACTTCAGCCATGACCTTAATATTCAATATTTCTCCAAAGTGAGGGGAATTTTCAGGGAATCAATATATGAATCCATTGTCAAACTTTGTACAATAAGTATTGCTGGCATCTGTTCTTTGTATTATACAATCACTTCCAATCAAAAAGGCTTTTCAACTTGTTTCAGTGTTGTACCATGTTTAAGAACTTTGTATTGTGACCTTCCGTATCGTGAACATTTTTTAAAAATTAAATTTTTTTGCATTACAATTCTATGAACTGTTCTTTATTTTCCATAAGAGATGTTGCATTTAATGCAAAACTCGGAAGTCTCTTTCCAGCTATCTGTACCTATGTGCTAGCAGATATAATTTCCTTAGGAAAGTGTGAAGATAATGAACAGCAGTGGGAAATGAACGCTGCTCCATATCAGAGTATTTCTCATGTTCTGAGCTAGGAGAGAAGCTCCTGTGTTGATTGGATTAAAATGGAAGCTTAGTTCTTTGTTATACAACCTTTTCCAAGTCTCCCACTTCAATTTTTGTGAGCTGGATAAATATCAAATGCAGCCTGGAATTGTATTGGGAGAAATAAGAAGGCAATGATTCTCTTCTCAGCTTGGCACATACAGCTGTCATGCACCTAAACTGCCAAAAATAATGCTACTTGTAGTAAGTCATGAATGTGTTTCAAGTATTGCACATGGTGTTATCTCAGAGATCTCCTTTCTCTTGAAATGTGAGATGATACCTGATTGCGCTTTGTGGGAACCTGGGTTTGGCTCCATGTTTTGAAGATGGGAGGGTGGGGGGGACCCAAACATGCATGTAATGTTACATATTCAAGTGCTAGCTTCTTATCTTTCAAAATAAGAACTTTACTAGCAAGTTTCACAGGACGTGGCCCTTTCTTCTGGGAGATGAAATAATTAACAAAAATTGACTTGTGGTTTACCTCTTTAGAGGTGGTAGTGTTAGTAAAATAAGGCACATGATTCCTCTTAAAGCTGTTGTTCCATGCTCCTGCAGATCCATGTATTTTGTTTTCATGGCAACTTACTGTAGTTTTAATGATTATTTTTTTTTTTTTAACCGGTAGATTTACATCATGATAACAAACTTCTTGTTATGTAGACTTTCCATCTTCAAGAATGTGACCTAAAGTTCATTCTGTAATCGCTTCCAGTAAGTGATTCTTGCCCTCTTCCCTTTCCATTCTAATAAAGGCCAGGATTATAGAGAACAATATAGGAGCAACTGAAGAATTCTACTAGGAAATACATGGCTGCAAATCCTGAAAGCAGGAGGCAGTGCGTGTCATCCTATGGATTATTTCTATCAAGGATTTTACGGAACTCTGGGTATTTCTGGAGATCAGGAATTGATCAAGCTCTTGTGCTTTATTTGGCCTTGTTAGGTGGGTGAGCCCCTCAAATGTGCAAGCATGGTAATGCATTTCCTGGAGACAATGCAGAGACTGTGGTTTGCTTGCTGTCATGATGGAGTTGACAGCTAATGTAGGCTGTGGCAACAGAGGAATTGTAGTTAATTCCTAATTAACTAAAGCTAATTGTAGGAAGAGGCAAGCACTGATACTACAGTTCTGTATGCTTGTAGGATTCAACCATCCCTGGAGGTGTTTAAAAAAACATGTAGATGTGGCACTTTGGGATATGGTTTAGTAGGCATGGTGGTGTTGGGTGGATGGTTGGACTTCATAATCTTAGAAGTCTTTTCCAACCTGTGATTCTATGAAGTTGCCATCCTGGCATTACATGAAGAGTTTATCGCGGTCTGCCATTGCCAAGACACGTAGGTGATGGAGGGGGCAGTAGCAACCCACTCCAGGGCTGGACTGGCATCTGAAAGGGTTTAGGCATTGACTCAGTCCAGTGTGTTTGGTAAATGAGCTGTTACATCTTTGTCTTGTTACTTCGTTATGTTCCTCCATTTATCTGAATATCAGTTCTCTCTTTGTCCAATACCTAATAACTCATAATCCATTTTCATTATTTTGTGCAAGTGTGCTCTCTGCTTTGTGGGAGCTAGCTGAAAGACTTTCAGGTGGTACAGATATGCAAGCCATACATATTTAATACTTGGAGAGGTGGAAAAGGGAGGATGAAAACTGATGTACCTGCAGACAGAGGGAAAGGACTAATTGCTCAAAGGAACAGGGGAGATGTCTGAGAGATCATTATTACTACTTAGCCCAGCAAGGCTACTGGGAAGTGTTGCTAGTAGGCAATTATGACAGTACGGTGCTTAATGTAAGTAAGCTACTAGTCTGTAGTGCTTGTGGGCATGCTGTTAAACAGGTGAATTTATTACTTTTTTCCTCTTATAAAAATGCTATTTATAAATCTACTGCTACTATTTATAAAACTTACTTATAAAACTCTGGATAAAACTTTTTTCTTTCCTCTCCCTCATACTTGTATATTTATAACTTGCAGAATCAATACTCCTATCAAAATACATTGCGAAGCAACTAACGTGATTGGTATTCCTTAGTAAAGTATCTATATTAGAATCTCTGGACAAGTGGGAGCGTCTCACTGTAGCTGATGCATTGGAACCGGTACAGTTTGAGGATGGGGAAAAGATTGTGGTCCAGGGAGAGCCAGGAGATGAGTTCCTCATTATCTTGGAGGGCACAGCTGCAGTCTTACAGCGTCGATCAGAAAATGAAGAATTTGTTGAAGTGGGCAGACTGGCACCTTCTGATTATTTTGGTGAAATAGCTCTGTTGATGAACCGTCCCCGTGCTGCCACAGTTGTTGCTCGTGGCCCGTTGAAATGTGTAAAGCTTGATCGACCCCGATTTGAACGTGTCCTGGGTCCGTGCTCGGATATTCTCAAGCGAAACATCCAGCAGTACAACAGTTTTGTATCGCTGTCTGTCTGAAACCTTCCTCCCTATCCAAAACATGCTTCACGAATGCAGACTGCTTTATTACCCTTATGCAGAGCCACACCGCCACTGGCATTTGCAGCTTCCTGTCTGTTTAAAAAACTAAAAAAAAAAAGAAAAAATTGCTTTTCATGGCACTGTTTTTAATTTAGAGCATATTAGTTCTGTGCTCTCTGTCCCATTAAATTAATAGAAAAGTTGTATGGAGATGTATGCTCTTACCTAAGCAGGTGACAGTACGGGGTGGGAGGGGGGGATTTTTTTTTTAAAGGTGTTTCTCAAATTGTTGGACAGATTTTAAGGCGCTGGTCATAATCTGCTGTATTTCTTTTCAAATGAGAACTGCCCTCGTAATTGAGCTTCTTGGGGCTTGGCGTTTTCTCTCTTTTTTTTTTTTTTTTAATTTTATGGGCAATGTGTGTCAGAATGGTACAGCTGTGCTGCTGTTAGTAATGTTCAAGTACTTAGACTGGTGTAGAAATCGGAAGCAAAGATTTTATTTTCCCGGTGACTCTTGCGTGCTCTGTATTCCTCAGTTGACTTTTTAAAAAATGATTCTCAGTTCAGGTGACCGTTTGTTACCAGGGAAGATAAATGTGGAGTATTTATGGCCAGCATCAGTTGCAGGTGGCAAGATTGCTGGTCTATGCAGATGCCGTTATTCTTGATAGAGAATGAGAGACAGAAAAAGTCAATGTTTTACCTTTCCAGCAACACTCAGTTATTTTTAACTCAGTCAATTCATAGTTTTTAAAATGGTTAATTATAAATCTAGTTTAAATACAAAAGTTGCATTCTCTTTCCTTGCTTATGGAATTCACATGACGCATATTTCATACTCGCTCTTTTTTCCAAGTTCAGTATGCAACCTGATCTAGTTAGCAGTGTCCCTGCTCGCTGCAGGGGGGTTGGACTAGATGACCTCTAGGGGTCCCTTCCGACCCAAAACTTTCTATGATTCTATGATTCTATTTGAAAAGTGTGCAAGGATGAAAACTGTAAAGGAGATACATAAATTGTCAGTCGCTGCAATCTCACTGGCAATGCAACTTGAAAAAGTCTGAAATCAGGGCTAAGGTTTATTATATGGATGGTAAGGGAAAAAGAAGGAACATAGCTCACTACTCTGCCTTCAAAACATGGCTAACCTGCAAGTAAATAGTGAATTGACTGATCATTTTAAATCTGCCTTGCTCAGTAGCAAAACTGCACAAAATTGTGCATGAAAGTTTGGTGGTTTTTTCCCAAGTGAAGTCGTTCATTATAGCTAAAGGTGTTTAAGCCCTCTGCATCAGCATAGGGAAGTCCCAGTCCTCCAGCCCCTGTGTTTTGGCCCTGTGGTCTGACTACACCGTTGTTTCGGCTTTTGCTGGACCTTATGCTGAGCGGATTCAGTGCAGAAGCCTGGCAAAACACTACTTATTGTACTAGTTTTCTGCAGGTGTAACAACCTGAATTAGTTTGGTACGGTCTGACAAGTACCAAAGTCAGTAGGAGAATGGGACAAAGATCAGTAACTCCCCTTATGATGATTGTTTAGGGTGCAACTTTGCATTTGCTTGCAAAGTAGTTATCCTTGGCTGCCTCTTCTTCCCCTATAGTATGTCATTACAACCAAATGGTCACGACTTCTTTACATGGGGTATAATATATACATAGAGCTACATTTACACACGTATATAGGTATTGAATCCAGATCTGGTATTAAACAGGTCTAGGACACAGTAATATACTAAATATGTTTATCTAAGAATAAGGTATTAATGAAGTAGAAAGTGTAAGAATAGAAGGATTAAAAAAACTCTTCAAAAGTTAATAAGTAGCATGTCTTGAACTGATCTTATTGGATAACTGATATGCTCAGTTACTTTGGCTGTAATGGTTGCCTGAAAATTTAGGAGTAGGAAGGAAGCTAATGAGAATTTCAAGATGCGCAACCCATGATAATTGGTGCCTATGTGGGCTCATTTATCCCTAACACTGTCAGCTTTGCTGGGTTTCCTATGTTGTATCTAGATTAGTGCTCTGATTATGGAACAGTGGTAGCAGCCTCTGTGCTCCTTTGAGTGTTTTCTGCTACTGAGGGATGATTCAGGTTCTCCAGCAGCAGCTGCTGAACTGTTATATTGTAGTCTGGGTTATTAAGGTAACTCAAATTGGCATTGATTTTTATAAGGTAAACAAAAGCTGAGCGGCTGTGTCAAAGCAAGAGAGCCACTCCTGTAGTGGAGATGGAAAACTGAAGAGGGGAGAGAAGCTAGGGCAGGAGCTAGTCCAACTGCTGTAGAGCAAGCCATTTTCACTCCCAAATCAGTTCCTTAATCTGGTTGATGAGAGATACTGCTAGTTTTTCTTCAAAGCAGTCTGTCTTGCAGAAAACTCATGCAGTAATGAGGGCTGTGCAGGGACTGATTCTGTAAGGTGCTGAGTTTTTGAGTAACTGCTTAGTGAATGTGCTTGACTCCCACCCAAAGCCAGCGGGAGTTCAGGGTATTCATACCATTCCAAATAACCCTTTTTATTCTTAAAGATGTCTTGATAAAAGGAACTTGTAAAACAATGATTTGTTTTCTTTCTGTTCTGTGGATATAAATTATACCATATGCATGAAAAGGAAATAGATAACAGTTTTCTGTTTTAAAAAATGGCTAGAAGCAAGCAACAATGTCAAAGGCAAGGACATATGAATCTTATTTTATTTAAATCTGTTTTTATGCCAAGTGTGTGTGGTTTTGCTAGCTTGAGAAGTAAATCCACTGAATGGTCTTAACCGATAACATACTCTTTTCTGCATTGGTCCAGAGAAAATTCTGATAAACTTCAGGTACAGAGTTTTAAATTTACCGAGTCTTGCTTTTAGCTATAGCTGCCTGTTTTTCTGGATTTAAGAACGCTAGCAGCTTAGAAAGAGGGATTGGTTTTCATTGCCCTAGATTTACACAGATCCATCAAGAGTATAAACAAAGCCTCATATTCCATAGCAAAGGAGTCTGAAATTCCACATAAAGTTTCTAGTTGCAGTAGGCTACAATACATAGTTACATTATTTATTATGTTAAAATGAAGGCTTTTAATAAATTAAGCTCACAAATAAAGATTAATAGTCAATAGAGTAGTACTTCTGATACTTTGATGAAAAGGTCTGCATGTTTTATGCTGGCCTGCACTTAGTTCTTAATATATCAAAGATGTTTGTGCTGGAAATGTGCAACTGTCGGTGAGAAGCTGAAGCAGTGGGCAGATGGGAAAGTGGAATATGCACACGAACTGAGTGTTCTTCAGTCAGCAGTGAAGTAGCAAATAGTGCATGACAAGCTGTCTTTCAAGACTTCAGGCTTAATCAGTTCAGATCTAAGTCATTTGCTTCTCTTGGAGTATTGCTCCAAGACCTTGCAGACTCAAGAAAACAGAACTGGAGCAGAGGACAAGTTGAAGTTTGGGGATTTTTCCTCCCTGGAAAAAGCTGCTGGTTTTTTTTCTTTTAAAGGAAAATAAGCAAGCCATGCTGTAGAAATCTTAGTATGGTTAATAAGGCTTTGTGCTCCTTTAAGTTGCAATGACCCTCTCGCATTTTTCAGACCTTTCTCTCTTTAAGGAAGGCCTGTGTGACAGTTGATTTAAACTCTGTCTTTTCTCATTAACAGCCTACCACTAAATGAGTTTTAATCATAGTAATAATTGCATAGGGCAAAGGAGTCCCCTACAACTTCTAGGTGACAGGGAAAGTTAGTTATCTCCCTTGTGTCTAGGTAAACATTTCTTCGGTCTCTGTATCGAGGGCAGGGAGATGGTGCATCTTTGCGGTTGCTGCCTGCCCCTTTGAGGCCAGCTGTTGATAAAATTACAGCCTGGTATGTAGGAGAATTCATGCTTGTGCTGGTGTGAGAGAAAGAGCTGGAAGGAGCACAACAGGGCTGGTGATTTCGGTGGCTGTGCCAGTTTATGCAAATGGTGATTGTTCCGGCCTAAATAGTGGCCATATCCAAGTGTAGAACATGGAGTAGGAAACACACAGATTGGGAGGCAAACTCAGTAATTCTCTAGAGACTCTCCCTGCTATATGTTGAAAGAAGTGAGCTGGCAAAGAGTACTGGAAAAAATGCTATTTGGAGGGGAAAGCTTCGGATGTAGGTCTGAGTCTCTCCCAATATCAGCATTTCTGTTTGCATCCTTAGTATTCATTTAGATAAAAGCTGTATTTTTGCCATCTTCATAGGGTTAAGCCAGTGGCTTCTTTGACAGTTACGTAAGCCCATAGGTCAGTGGGGAGGGAGTAGCATTTACCTTAATTCTTTCTCCGCCAAAGTAATATGCTAAAAAAATCAGAGAGCTTTTTTTAGTGTAAGCTGTACATACTGATATCGAATCAGATTGCCAGTGAAGCATGGGAAATGCATCCTGTGCAGCTAGGGAGCTGACACATTTGGATATGCCAAGTAATGTCTTTGCCTTTCCCTCCCAAAATTATCCATGTCCTGAGAGCATCTCCAGTTGACAGAGAGAAGGAATGCTGAGCAATGCTAACAAAAAGATTGCAGTCATTTATGAACAGTTACACAAATGTATAAGGTATGATCATTAAAGATTCAGAAATTAAGCTACTAGGTAAGTGTTTAGAAATAATCAACTATACCCAGAAAGCCAAAACAAGTGTTTGTAGAGGATATTTACGTTGTGCTCTTGCTTCTTAGTATTTTGGTTTTCATTTGTTTTATTTTTTAAATCCCCTGTTTAAGTGCCAGTTTATTTCAGCTTTTAAATGTTCCAAGATCCCTGTGTAAGATTTCTACTGTAAAATTTCTCTCCTACCCTACTTTATGCGGCTTTAGGCGTATTTTCCTCTTCATCTCCTCCTGCCAGTGCTATTGCATGACTAAATGGATACTGTAACACGATTTCAGGTATGGACAATGTCCCTGAAAAGACAGTTTTAAAAACATTTTAATGAATTTAATCAAAATCACAATTTAAGCTCTCTGAGGTTTGACTGTAAACACACCCTCGATTTCCAGTCACTGCAGTATGGAGCCCAGGAATGGAACTGAAAACCAGGAATGGAACTCTTATGGGGGACAGCAGTACCTGTTCATGCTGTCAGTTAGCCACTGTGTGAAAAGGAAATAC